TTGTTCCGCGCTTGGCAGAGGTGAAGCTTATTGACTACGTAGCATGTCGGCAGTGGATAAAACTTCGTATATGCGTGCTAGCTTGTTTAACCTTTCACAAGAATGTGCGGTTGTATAAGTCTAGTGCGGCTTTACTGCTCGAAGGGCAAGCCGTATGCAATCTTCCGGAATCCGTAGGCTACCTTAGTGCACTTGATAGCAGCTTTAGGATTCCAGGGCAGCCGTCCATCGGATGTACTGCGTAATGTGCCCTCTCCGTCTCTAGGCCAAGAGACCTAAAATCCTTCAGTTAGCTAAGCCTTGAAAAAGACCATTGCGGCTAGTTATACTAGGGCAGCCCGGCTCATCCACGTCTGGATATTCGGAGTGTAGAGTTTATCCTCCTGTTCTTGGAGAGCTGACCCATGTGGGTGTCGGGGAATTGGTTTGCCCTCTCACGTTGGAAAGCAATTAGTTTACCCTCTCGCACTGGAGAGCATGGTTGGTCCCTCGGGGGGCGCAATTCCTGCGGTAAGTCCCTAAGAAGGGCGCGGTTTTCTTTTGAAGTGCAGGTGTGATCAGTTGTTGTAAGCATACAACTAAGCCAAGTCGTGATTACTTCTGAATTCCTCATTGAAAAACGAGTTAAACGAACGAGAACTTAGATGTAAGGTAAGAACTGCATAACAACTAGATAATCCTCGACTGGTGAGGTAGTGCCCGTCGAGTTGCTTGAGTCTTCGGGCTTTAATGTAGCGAGAGGTCACACATGGTACTTCCTCAGATTGTAGGCGTTCCATTGTTTTTCGATCTTTTTGTCGTTTTATGGTGGCGAGGGTGTAATTGTTCTTGCCACCTACTCAGCTGATCTTGTACGGACTTTCCCAAATGAGATCCATATTTTTTGAGCCTTTTCTGCTGGCAGTGATGAAGGTTTTTCTTATGACCAGATCTCTAGGCTGGAACTGCCGGATCTTGGCCCTTTTGTTGTAGCTGGAGAGGAGCTGATGCTGGTAGGCTGCGATGCCAGTGATAGTTTGTTCGCGCCTCTCTTCTGCCAGATATAAGCTTGTGGCCATCTCCTTTCGGTTATTCGTCTTTTGGTTGTGCGATATGCCCATAGACATCCTTGGAGTTCATCTGGCCATTTTCTTTTCTTATTGGTGAAGTAGTCGGTTGCCATGATCATCATGTCTTTGCCCCTAGTAGTCTGGTTGGTGATTAGCTAGGACTCGGAATGAATTGAAAGCTTTTTCACCACCAAGTCTTTTGTCATTCGAAGGCCTGCTAGTGGGACTTCGTACTCTGCTTCGTTGTTAGATGATTTGAAGCTTAGAGTGATCACCTGCTTGAGCATTGAAACGTCTAGGGTGGCAAGAACCACGACTGCTCACAAGCCTTCGTAGTTGGATGCGCCGTCGACATGCAAACGCCAGAAATCTCCACTAAGGGAGCAGGTGTGGCTAAAGTGTGCTCGGCTGCCTTCGGGACGTCGTTGGGCCGAGTTGTTGCGTTCGTCAGAAAACTTTGCATCTGTTAGGGTCTACGCCTTTATCGTTGCCGGTTTGGATTCGGCGGAATAGTGCGTCATGATGATGATTGCTTGCGTTTGAAGGTAAAACTTAAGCTTTTGGTTTACAACAATTATCGCCAAAGTTAGCTTTTGAATTTTTAATAGCATCGATGAGAGCTTTTGAACTGTAAAATACAGGTAGTCGGGCCCCCATCTCTTCTCACATGATGGTAGAGCTTATTGCTACTTTAGATACCGTCAAACATGCGAATAAGTCCTCCGCTGCTTCTAGGGAGGTGATGTCGGGTACTTCTTCAAGTCCTTGAATGTGCATTGGCGAGCCTCATCCCAAAGTGCATGCTTCTCTGCCAAAGCAAAAGAGTCTGCCAGAGTTAGATCTTCTTTCATGATCAATTTTCTGAATAGCGGGTGGTCTGCTGGAAGTCATTTTTGGAAGGCTGCTCTAGCTATCGAGTCGTTGCATCCGACTATTTTTGCCTTCTCTACTTTAAACCTCCTCACATAGTCGCGAAACGACTCCTTTGGGTTCTTCTTGACGTCGAACAAATGGTCAGACTTCTTTTTGATCGAGCGATAAGATGAATATTCTTTGGTGAAAACAAAGAAAGTTCATAAAAATTCCGGATGGATTGTGGCGGCAGGGTGTAGAACCAATCTTGCGCCTCGCCTTGTAGAGTGATGGCGAATATCTTGCACATGAGATCATCGTTGTTTCGATAAAGGATCATTGCGGTTCGGTAGCGCTTTAAGTGTCTCTCCGGGTCTTCATCCCCTTTGAAAGATGTGAAATGTGGCATGCTGAACTCGCGTGGAGGTTCTGCCTGCTCGGTCTTTTCTATGAAGGGTGACCTGCTTATGTTGGTCATGTTCCGTCGTAGTGCCTCGTCGGTGACCTCGTTGCGTTGGAAATCATGCAATCGCTTGGTCAATAGTCTCTCTGCTTCTTCCTGAATTTGCCTTTGTTGGGGTAGCGGAGCTCTCGGCTGCCCCCAACCATGACTTGCTGCTCTAGGCTGCTCTTCCATGTGTTTGGCTCGTCTATGTCGCGGATGCAGTGCATGTGGTGCGTTCCTAGCAGGCGAGTGAGTTCTTCACAGGCTGCTGGTTGAACTTGAGCGGGATTGAGTGACTGCTTCTCTCCGTCCGTCGTGCTGCCTACTCTGATATGAGGTGCAGGATGCTCCTTGTGGGCTTAGCCGCGAATAGACACTTTGCCCGGAAGGTTGCTCATGTTGACTATCGGAGTATGACCCCAACCGTGAATGTATGCTCATCCGTGGCCCTAGTTGAGAGTGCATGCTCCTCCGCGCGCTAAGACGGGAATGTACACTGCCCAAACGTTTGGCTCGTGGTTGGTCGAGTGGCTGCTTACCGGGACGCTGCTGGAAAGGTCTGTCTACCCTTGTCCTACTTCGGGATACCTCGTCCGGGGCACGTTGGATCCTGATGCGTTGCAAAAGTTGATTCACCAAGGTTGTCTGTTGTGCAAGGGCGCTCGTCAACTCTATGACTTGTCAAGACAAGTGTTGTTCGCCATTTGGATTGGAAGAGCGCGCCTTTTTGAGCAGTGGAAGGGTGGTAGACTCCGGGCGTGAGATTTGAGTTGGGAAATGTCAAATTCGCGAAAAAATATGGTGAGAATGTCCCCGGCTTAATGGTAGGTTCGGATGGTTGAGATAGTCTTGGGCCGACTTGGGCTGCTTAGAAAGCCACTAAAGCAGGCTGGGCCGTGAGAGTGGGCTGCTCGACTGGAGCTGGTTGGGCCACGGGAGTGGGCTGCTCGTCGGGAGCAGGCTGGGTCACGAGAGCAGGCTGCTTGGGAGGAGCAGGTTGGGCCACGGGAGTGGGCTGCTCGACGGAAGTAGGCTGGGCCACGGGAGTAGGCTACTCGACGGAAGCAGGCTGGACCACGGGAGTGGGCTGCTCATCGGGAGCAAGCTGGGTCACGAGAGCAGGCTGCTTAGCAGGAGCAGGCTGGGTCACGAGAGCAGGCTGCTTAGCAGGAGCAGGCTGGGCCGCGAGAGCAGGTTGCTTGGCGGGAGCAGGCTGGGCCACGGGAGTGGGCTGCTCGTCGGGAGTAGGATGGGTCATGAGAGCAGGCTGCTTGGCAGGAGCAGGCTGGGCCACGGGAATGGGCTGCTCGTTGGGAGCAGGTTGGGTCATGAGAGCAGGTTGCTTGGTAGGAGCAGGCTAGGCCGCAAGAACAGGTTGCTTGGCGGGAGCAGGCTGGGCCGCGAGAGCAGGTTGCTTGGCGGGAGTAGGCTGCTTAGAATGTGATGCAAGCGAATGCGAGGCTCGGGCCCGGGCCCGTGCAAACTTGGATGGCACGACTTGGGCCGTGGCCTTGGTGTTGTGAGCCTTGGATGGCACGGCTCGAGCCGTGGTGAAGGCACCATGGACCTCGCCACGGGTGGCTACCGAGGTAGCCACCGTGGTGGTTCCCATGGTGGAAACTCGTGGTAGTGGTGGTGCTCCACTTATTGTCACATTTAGCCTCACGGATCTCCGCAATCCCATTTCTTGAACATTAGAATTTTCACTCGTGGAATTTTTTAAATTTCTAGCCATTATATTTTGCTTATACGTTTTATCAAAGAACCTTTGCAAGTAAAAAATTCTAATAATAAGAACGTATGAAAAATATTCAAATGGACTAGAAAATAAAGAAAAAACCTTTTTGTGCGAGAGTCTTCTACGAGTATGGATTTCAACTCTCAATGAAAGCACCAATTTATGGATGAAAATTTCTTCCTCCTTGATCTTGGACAATTTTGCACCTACAAAACAATTAACACCTTAGGTTAAAGCCAAGAGCCTCACACGCCCACGATGAATGGGGGGGAGCTTTGGCCGAAGAACCTCTGATGCCAAAGTTAGAATTTAGAGAGAAAGATTGTTTAGAGAATTTTGGGATTTTTGCCAAAGTGTTGGAATTGGCTTTTTTGGTGAGAATGAGAGTATATTTATAGGGATAGGAGGTGGCTAGGGTTTTTGTGTTTGATTTAGGTTTAATTAGCCAATTTATTTGGCTATTAAACATAAAATGAATGTTTTGGTGGTTTTTGGAATTAATTGGCTAATTAATTAGGGTAATTAAAAAGGGAAAATAGTGGAAAAGGTGGAGAATAAGATGGTTTACTTTTCTTGATGGGATTGGCCGGCCATTTTAGTAGTTTTAGGTTTGGATGGGTGTTTCAATTGATAATTAAGGGATTGATTAGGTAATTAATCCCTTAATTAGTCAATTATTATGATTTTAGGAAATATGAAAGGAATAAGTATATTATTTAGCTAATTGATTAGCTAAATAATGAAATGGGAAATATATGAATAAATTAGGTTTTAAGTTGATACCTATTTTGGGCACTTTTGACTTGGTTGAGGGAAAATTGCCTGCTACTTGCGCGTAGGAATCCCGGTATACCTCAAGGGTAGTTTTGTCTTTTTTTGTCAAAAATTCACGTGTCGCCTTGTGATTATTTTTGGCTCCACACACATCACCCCTTCTTCGTTGGTTGATGTGGGATCTCACAATCCATGCAATAAAATAGAATAAGTTTGAATGTTTGGAAGTTGGCCACAAGCTTGCATTTGAGAGAACAAGTTCAGTGCATCTTGCGTTCTCCCCATCTTGCAAAACCCATCAATAAGAGTACTATAAGTAACCATATTTGGAACGACTCCCTCATGAGACATTTCCAGAAAATCATCCGAGGTATAGTTAATGATTTGGTTCTCCACCATTTCATTAAACAATCTTTTAGCTTCTTTCCAATTCTCTACTTTGCAAAATCCATGAATAAAAGAGGTATAGGTAATGATGTCGGGAGCAATGCCCTTACTCGTCATTTCTGAGAAGAGGTTTGGTGCATCAACAACTAGAGTATCCTTACAAAAACTGTCAATGATTGTGCTATAGACAACGACGTCAGGCTTGCAAGCTCCTTCCATCTTCTTAAGCAATTGGATTGCTGCAGTGTTGGTACCTTTCAAGCAGAGGCCCTTTACTAGTGTGCCGAAAGTGACCACATCAGGCTTGCAATTACCTTTCTCCATCATTTTGTTGAAAATTGCTGCTGCCTCGGCCTCTCTATTCTTAAGTAGAAAACCGTTGATTAGAGTGGTGTAGGTTGTGACATCAAAACCTAATTTGAAGAAGTTACCCAAGACTGACAACTAAACTCCATTTGGTTAAGATGACAAAAGCAATTAATGATAATGGTTAGAGTATAAGCATCTGGACGAATTCCAAACACAACCATTTGGTTATTCAAGGAGATGACTGTTGAGTAATGTTTCAACATGGCAAGTTGACCCAACACTTGAGTGAAAGGGAAAATGGAAGGCAGAGGACGCCTTTGAAGCATTTCGTCGAACACATTGAGAGCATCCTCAACATTAGTGATTTTCACACGCTGGTGTTGTTAGGTGTTTCTTGATTCCATCAATTTAGAAGCTTGAGAGTGAAACAAACCCAAGTAATTGTTGAAGAAAACAACGACAGAAGAAGATTGAAGAAGGCGAGGCATCATACCTCTGGTGCTAATGGTATTATGGTAATGCTATTGTAGGGAAGAAAAACTTGGAATTTGGGTAAACCTTAGAATTTATAAATTGACATGCACTAATCCCCTTGTTTGAATTCATAAACATAGAAATTTAGAATTTTCACTTAGAAGAAAAACTTGGAATTTGGGATCTCAAATTCCTAAGTTTAAATTCCATATAAATATGTGTCATTTCCCAATTTTTATGATTGAAAGTTTAAAAATAACAAGTTTCGTATCCAATTTCCTTATTCTTTTAGGTTAACCAAACAAGAAAATTTACAAATTTAGAAAATAAAATACTGTCATTTTTTTAATTCAAACATAGTGGTAAAGACATGTTAGAATTATGTGGGTGAAACTTCAAAAAACAAAATTGCTATTCTTACAACATATTTGTACTGTCTATCTAACAAAGATATGACCCACATGCTTTGGTAGCCCCACCGTTATTAGATAGATGATTCAAATAAGAAAATATGTGGTAAGTGTAGCATTACTTTTTAAAAAATAGCAAATTTCTTTGTGTAAAATTACATTGCGGCCCATATCTTTTATTTTTGTACAGTTTTGATTAGTAGGTTAGAATGTTAATTTTATAAAATTTTAGTTGACAATCTGAGTTCTATTGATATGTAATTTAACTAATTGGACATAAAAGCCCTTTAAACAAAAAATTAAACTCTTGAAATTGAAAAACATTGTATAGCCACTTAATATTACAGTTTAGTGGTATTTCTCTTCACTTGCAAGTGAAAAGTCTTAGACACGATTCTCGTCCACAACGTATTTGAATTATATTATTGTTAGCCCATTGTGAGACTTAACTCACCTTCCCACCCGTTAAGTGTACATAATATCCTTTATTAAAAAAAAAAGCAAAAAATGTTTTATAATGTAAGAGCTGTAAAATAGTAAAATTAAAAATAAAAAAAAAGGTTAAACAAGCAATTATCATGTTCAAACACGACTAGTTATTCAGGCTACGCAAGGTTGGAATTGGGAACTAGTCTTGGACTCTTATCTCTGACCTGGATTGTCACTTAATACGCATATTTGTAGGATTCATAAAGCAAGAAGAGGCAATCTCATGGATTGGTATTCGAGTCATAAATATGTCTACAAATTTAATACTAGTCCAAATACTCTGCTTCACCAACAGATTTCATAATAAATTCAGTTAATAACACATACCATACGTCACTAGGCGATGAATGAACGAATGGCTACATGAACTAGACTCGACAATGGAACAACAAGGGCGGAGCCAAGTACAAGGCTCCCCTAGGCTATAGCATAGGGAGAGTTTGGTTCTTCAAGCTTAAAAATATTAGTTTTTGGGTTAGTTTATGATTTTTAGTTGTCATATTTCACTTAAGAAATGAAATTTTTTCTATAAGTAAGGCTGTTTTTAACAATAATAAGAGCTAATAGATGTTAAATTAACTCATCACTTTAACCAATATTATATTTAATAGTAATAAACTAAAACTTCCATACCACAAATGGTTCCTCATTTTATTCACTTGAAAGCTTTGAAGGCTAGAAACCTAGAAAACATAGCATAAAATTCTTGCTTCAAATTACTACATTCAAGTTTTCACTATTATATAACTTTATGTAGGCAAAATAGGATTAAAATTTTGATTTCGTACTAATAATTTTAACTTAGCCCACCCACCAAATAATTTCTGGCTACGCCATTGTGGAACAACTCCCCCCTCCAATGTAGCATTCAAGGGAAGATGCACCGAAACTTGTCAAAACTAAAAAGATGCAAATCAATTTCATCATGGTCTTTCTATAAATGCCAACAAAGTGGCGTCTACCCTATCTTTAGACAATAAATTAACAATCAACTCCGTAGTTGATGCATCTGCAGAAAAACCCCTCTCCACCATTTCTTGAATAAGCCTCACTCCCGTTGATGTCTCGTTGTTATTGATAAACCCTCGGATAATTGTGTTGTACGTCCAACCATCTGGAAAACAGCCTTTCTCTTCCATTTCTCTAAGCAAGTTTTCCGCTTCACATATTTGCCCCCCATTACATAATCCACGAATCATTATAGTATATGTCTTGACATTAGGTTGAATTCCTTTTGATGATAAACAACGAAAGAGATCCCATGCATATTCAACTTTTTCAGCTCTGCACAAACCGTCAATAAGAATATTATAAGTTACAATACCAAAATCCAACATCTTTCCCTCCATCTCTTCCAACAATTCAACTGCCTTGGGAAATTGTTGGTTTGCACACATGCCATGCAATAAAATAGAATAAGTTTGAATGTTTGGAAGTTGGCCACAAGCTTGCATTTGAGAGAACAAGTTCAGTGCATCTTGTGTTCTCCCCATCTTGCAAAACCCATCCATAAGAGTGTTATAAGTAATAGTATTTGGAACACCTCCCTTATGAGACATTTCCAAAAAAAGCTTATGGGCATCATCTATTCGTTTACACTTACAATAGCCGTTTATCATTATATTATAACCACGAGCATCAACCACAAAGGCCTTGCTAAGCATTACTTCAAAAACCTCTTTTGCCTCGTCCATTTCTCCTCGCAAACAATACCCATCCATAAGCGAATAGTACGTGATTGTACTAGGTTTGATATCTCTTTGAATCATCATCTCAACCACGCTCCTTGCTTCCTGGACTATGCCCTCTTTGCAGAATGTATCAACCAAGATATTGAAGGTGTGCACATTTGGAAAGATATGTTTCTCCACCATTTCATTCAACAACCTTGTAGCTTCTTTCCACTTCCCTACTTTGCAAACTCCGTGAATCAAAGAGGTATAGGTAATGACGTTGGGAGCAATGCCCTTACTCATCATTTCTAAAAAGAGGTTCAGTGCATCAACAACTAAAGCATCTTTGCAAAGACTGTCGATGATCGTGTTGTAGACAATTACGTTAGGCATGCAAGCATTTTCTTCCATCTTCTTAAGCAATTGGATTGCTGTATTGTTGTTACCTTTCAAGCAAAGGCCCTTTACTATTGTGCCGAAGGTAACCACATCAGGCTTGCAATTACCTCTCTCCATCATTTTGTTGAAAAGTGCTACTGCCTCGGCCTCTCTATTCTTAAGAAGAAAGCCGTTGATAAGAGTGGTGTAGGTCGTGACATCTGGCTCAAAACCTAATTTGAAGAAGTTACCCAAAATTGACAAACTAAACTCCACTTGGTTGAGATTACAAAAGCAATTAATGATAATGGCTAGAGTATAAACATCTGGACGAATTCCGAACAAAACCATTTGGTTATTCATGGAGATGACTGCCGAATAATGTTTCAACTTGGCAAGTTGAGTCAAGATTTGGTTGAAAGAGACAACGGAAGGCAGAGGACGCCTTTGAAGCATTTCGTCGAACACATTGAGAGGATCCTAAACATTACTGATTTTCACAAGCTGGTGTTGTTGAGTGTTTCTAGATTCGGTCGATTTAGAAGGTCGAGAGTGAAACAAAGCCCAGTAATTGTTGAAGAAAACAGCAACAGGAGAAGATTGAAGAAGGCAAGGCAGCATACCTCTGGTGCTGCTGCTTCCATAACCAGCCTTCGAAGAAGAAGAAGCAGCAATCGTTGCCCGCATCACCTTCAGCATCTCTAAGTCAATGAGTTGAGTTGCTCACAAATCAAAGAGTTGTTGTAAGACAGTTTGTGCGAGTTGAAGAGCATGGATTTCATGTTTTTTTTCTAGTTCTAGATTAACGCAAACTAAAAATAAATACACTAATTTGTTAAAGTTGTTAGGATCTCCTAGCTGATAGGGTTAGGGTTCTTTGTTTTTAGGTTTGAAGGCGTGCATAATAATCCCTATGCTTAAGGGACAAGTTTATTTGTTTTGGACTTAGTCATCCACCACGATTCTAGGGTTGTAAAGCCGTGGGTTGTTATTTCCCTTCCTGTTTTGATGTAAGGCTATTTAATAGTCATATTTGTTCTTTAATTCAGTAAGATTATTCTCCCAGCAATATAAGCATGAAGAAGAACAAGCCTGACTCTCAAATAATTCAAATTACATTTAAACCTCTTCTAAACCATCTTCAACATTTGCGTTAAAACCTAAAATTTAGGTTTTAAACCCCCTCTTTTAGACCATCGACGATAAGAAAGGACATTATTATGATTTTAACAAATGAGCAGAGCAGGTGAAAGCATTATCATGATTTAAGGCTTGGACTTAACTAAATTTCTTTGAGTCTATATATAAAATGAGCCAAGTGAATAAGATATTTAAAAAAATAAATAAACGGTTCGGTTTGGTTCTGAGGTTCTACCAAGATGAAAACCAAAATGGATATGAACAGTTCGGTCCGATTCTTGAACGTAAATTGATTTTTTCTTTTGTCAACATGGTTTTTTTCCGATTTATTATGTCGTTGTTCAATTCAGTTCCATGATTTTTATGTCCACCCCTACAATTATATATAGAAATAAGGGCACATATTTTCCGTGACATGTTTTGGATTCAATTCTTGGCATTGGTGAATCACATGATGGTGTTCAGGAGAGGCTGAAATGCCTCTATAAGTCTTTTCGGCCTCCGAAAGGATGGACTGTTGGGACAAAACCACCAATTGGTCAAGTTTTTTTTTTTTTTTTTATTTTATTTTTTTTTTCTAAACAAACTATATTATCTACACCAAGAGGGGGAAGTGGTCAGTCTCACAATGAGTTAGTCATATTAATGTGGTTCAAATCTAATACATTTAACTTATAAGTGAATATGAATATCACTAGACCGTAAGATTAAGTGGCAATTGAAGACGTTATTAGATGCAAAAGTGAGAAGTACTGAGCATGAAAATTTTGCATGCTTAAAGTCGTGAAACAAGTCAGCAATGAAGAGCACCTGTATTCAACAATTATCCATGTCTGAATTGTGTGAGTCACAAACTTCACATTCGTTCTTCACTTAAAATACATATAGCACCAAGTCAGGTGTCAAATTTACAAACTATTTAGGTAATTGTGCACCAAATCTGAAGGCAAACTGAAAATTACAACAAAACAATAATAAGGCGTTAAGTTAAGCAAGATAGTACAATACATGAACAACTACGATTTACCATTAAGAAAAACCAAACCTGTATGACTAAGATAGCGGTTGACATTTTCAGATTGCTCGTTCAAACATACATAGAAGCATCTTTAGCCTTTTCAAATACATCACAATAGCATATTATTTCTCAAATTTCTAAACCTAATGAAAAGTAAAATTAATAAAAATAGGAAATTATAGCTTACGCGAATAAATTAAACACGAATGTGCAACGGTTGAGGAAAGAAATGCAAAACCTGAACGGGCAAACGGAAACATTTGGTACTTCACACTCTCATTTTTTCTCTTTCTTCTTCCTCTTCCAGCAAACTTTCTAATAATTGTATGTAACCATTTCTTATAGTCTTACAATCGTAGGGTTTTGCACAAAAAGAAAGAGGAGATACTGACATTTGGTGGGTTGCTCTTATTTTTTTTTAGGTAAATTACATTTTACCCCCCTCATGTTTGTGGTAAATTATAACCTCATACAACATTTTTAAAATATTTCAATCACATACATTTGCTTATTATTTTATTTCAATTTCATACTTCTATTAGTCAATTTGCTAATTTGACTGTTAAATGACAATGTATCAACTGTGGATCCCACATTTTTCTAATCTATTTTTTTAAACTTATATGGGTACATTTTTTTGTTGATTTGAAAATGTATTCATGCCAAGTTATTTGAAGAAATTTATTAATATTACTAGGCCTAATATCTATTATTATTATAATTATTATTTTTTGTGCTTCTGAAGAATGTACCCATATTTTGGGTACGAAGAATTTACCAAACGTTTTATGATACAATAACTTTTGGTTAATATTGATGAATGTACTATATAAATGTACAAAATATGTTATATAATATGTGTGTGTACATACTTTTTATGGCAAAACATGATTTTCCACATTTAGTTTCTTGTTAAGTTTTTGGACAATGTTAAAAAAGCTTTGAATGGCCACGTTGTGAATGTAACGTAATTCCTACAAATATTGACCGTTCCAATTTACATGATCCTGCAGATAGAGCACCACAAGCATGGCCGAAAAAAATAAACAAAAATTAAAAATAAATCGTCACCTGAGAGGTTCGAAATCTCGCGGGGGATCCCCATGCACTTAGCAAACACACGCCTTAACCACTCGGCCAAAGCGACTGTTGATGACGTAGGAGGCTACTCATCATTTTTAATTAACTATTTAATTAAACAAAAATTAAAAAATAAATCGCCGCCTGAGATATGAGGTTGACGTTTTATGGGTTTCTCTTATTAATTTTTCGAGTAAATTACATTTTATTCCCTCAGGTTTGTGATCAATTGCAACCGCATATAATATTTTTGAAACATTTTAATCAGATACCTTTACTTACTATTTCATTTCAACTTCATATACCCATTAGTTAATTTGTTAATTTGACCGTTAAGCGATGATGTGTCAACTATGGATCCCACCTTTTTGCTGATATGACAGTCAAATTTTTCCACATTGATTAAAAAATAAATTATAAATAAAAAATTGGGCCACCCCCTTAAATCTTAGTCCGCAGCTATTCCAGAATCCAGCTGATTCTCGCCAGATAACACTGACCATGGCTGTTGCCATTACCACGACGTCGAGTCCAGTCGATTTTCTATTTTTTAGTCTCTTAAAAATACCCATTTGTATAGTTTTTCAATTTTTTAAATATACCAATTGTTATATGTAAAATGTACCAATTTCTTTTAATGTAAAACATACCCCTTTTTTTATGTAAAATTAGTTCACTTTTTTAATCTATTTTTAAAAGGAGAAATTAGGTTCTCATCCTTTATTTTGCTACTCCATTGATTAAAATTCTATTCTTTTTCAATTTTTGATCAAGGTCATTGGGTATTAATAATATCATTAATTATTTCAATAATAAAATATTTTTTTTATTTATAAATATATTCATTTAATGTTAAAAATGTTACAATTAGTATATTTATATTTATGACTAAATTTTTTATCATATATTTTTAGTTTTAGTTTGTACCCATTTTTAATTTGTACCAATTTTCTTTTCAATTTTAATTTGTACCCATATATTAATTTCTTTTTGTGCCCATATTTTTTAAAGTTTATTTGTATTTGTACCCATATATATATATATATTTTTTTTTTTTACTTTTTATTTTGCTAAATTTACCCATGCTAATTATATGTACCCATTCATGTAAAACTTTTTAATGTTAAAATGTACTCATTCTTAAATATACCAATTTGTTATCTGTAAAATGTACCCTTTTTTTATATAAAATATATTCAATTTTTTTCTAATCCATTTCTAAACTTATATGGGTACATTCTTTTTTCTTTGATTTTAAAATGTATCCATGTCAAGTTTAATCCAAGAAAATTACTAATGTTCTTAAGCCTAATATCTTTTTTTTTGTTGTCATTTTGAAGAATGTACCCAAGTTTTGATACAATAATTTTTTTGGTTAACTTTGATGAATGTACCCATGTTTATATATATACACACACACAATAGTATATTTATATTTTAATATTTTTAATCCCACAAATTATGGTTTTTTATTTAAAATCTCATTTATATAAACAACTAAAATTTCTAATTTTTAATTTAAAAAATATAGTAACGTACATAAAAATAAATTATCACATTAATTTCAGGGACCTCGATAAAAAATTAAAAACCAACAAGGTTTCAATCAAAGAATATTTATAGCTAAGGACCGCATCCAAAGTCTCCCTTTTTAAAACTTATATGGGTACATTTTTCTCGTTGATTTGAAAATGTATTCACGTCAAGTTATTCGAAGAAATTTATTAATGTTATTAAACCTAGTATTCATTATTATTTTTTTTCATGGATTTGAAGAATGTACCCATGTTTTCGGTTTGAAGAATTTACCAAATGTTTTATGGTACCATAACTTTTGGTTAATATTGATGAATGTACTATATATATGTACACAATATGTTTTACAATATGTGTGTACATACTTTTTATGGAAAAACATGATTTTCTACATCGGCAACATTGTGTCATCATCCTATCATGAGACGTTTGGTTCTTTTTACTTTTAGTTTCTTGTTAAGTTTTTGGACAATGTTAAAAAAGCTTTGAATGGCCACATTGTGAATGTAATGTAATCCCTACAAATATTGACTGTTCCAATTTACATGATCCTGCAGATAGAGCACCATAAGCATGGCCGAAAAAAATTAAACAAAAATTAAAAATAAACCGTCGCCTGAGAGGTTCGAACTCTCGCGGGGGATCCCCATGCACTTAGCAAGCACACGCCTTAACCACTCGGCCAAAGCGACTGTTAATGACGTAGGAGGCTACTAATCGTTTTTAATTAATTATTTAATTAATCAAAGTCTTTGTTTGTAAATGAGGATCCTCTCCAGATCCTCAGGATCTTGGAAATCCTCCAATCACATCTATTTATCGTACACCATGTGACTATTTTTCTTCAGGTATAGTTTATATTCAACTTTAAATATATAAAAAAATACAATGATTTATGATCGCATAATGTACGATGAACGGACGTGATTGGAAGGTCCCGGGTATCATCACAAAGAGGATTCGGAGAGGATCCTCGTTCCCTAATTTCCTTTCGTGAACTTACTCATGCAAGCTCATGAGTAGCACCAGTAGTAGTACTAGAAGCAAACAATATAAATTGGTGGCGGTGGCGGTGACGAATAATGGAGGAGGAGCAGACTGCACAGCTGCCCGAGATCTTCCGATCGTTTGACAGCAACAAGGACGGCAACTTGACCGAGTCGGAGTTGTAAAATAATTGATCAAAAGATCAATGTAAAATAATTGCAATAAGGTGATTTAGCAAATTAATGGAGTTTTCTCTCGCGTTAGGGTGAGAGTTTCTCT